GGTTCTTGTAAATGATGAATGTAACATTCATTAGACATTTTACAATTATAAACTTTTTCTGGCTCTATTACATAAAATTAATAAAATTTGCTAATTGGTGTATTATTTTGTTAACTAGTTTGAAAATTCACTCTATAACTAGTAGTGAAAAAAATTTATCGCTAAAGTTTTATGAATGGTTATGTATAAAAAAATCATATTATCAATTTGACCATAGATATAATTTGGTAAATAGTAACCGCGCTAGCTTGGTATAGAACTGTGGGAAGCCGGATAAAAATAAAGCGCCCTACATGAGAGATTGAGAGGGCAGGTGAAAAAGCCAGTTGCCCGGAGCGTGACTTCTCTATATCGTACTCTCGCCTATCTACCGCTCCCACATAAGAAGCGGGACGATAGGGCCGGCCCAACCTGATCAGCGAGGCGAAGGAACGGGGCCCAAACGTCCTCCTCTCTCTCTCTCTCTCTCTTTCACCGAGAGGGACAATACGTGGCTCTGACACATACGCACAGACCCATGATCCGTCAACAGCCCACTTCCATAAATAGCAACCGAGCCTGGCCCAACGTCGTCGAGTCCCCATCGCCCTCTTTTTGTCGCCTTGTGCCGATAAACGCGGACTCCCACCGCGGCCCCCTCTCCACCTCACCCCGGCGGGCCCCACCCACCGCCTCGGGGACAGCCCCATGAGGCCCCGCGGGCTTTTGCCGGAAAAGACCGGTCAAATCGGCCCTCGTCCATTTTTTTTACTTCTTCTGCAACGCCAAAAAAATATTCCCGGTGATTCCCAAACTCGCGAATTAGGAACGCGAGGATTTTTATTTTTATTTTTTGTTTACGAGAACTAAACAGTTTCTCCTCGGATTGAACTTCAAAGGAGCTAAGTGCTACTGTGCTATAAAATAAGTTGAGGGGGTTAAGTAAAATTCAATATGGTACTGTTTGGCAAAAGGTTGAGGAGACTTAACCCCTTTTTAACCCGTTAAACACAAAAAATCTATACAATGGTTAAAGTGAGTTAACCCTCCATAATTTGTCAAATATAAAAAATATGAAATAGTTAAGCTAACCCCTCTACATGGATTAAAATGAGTTAACCCCTCAAAATGAGGGGTTTACTACTACTTCTATTTAGAAGAATTGAGAATTAATCTTTCTAGTTATAAAGAAAATAATCAAATCATTGTTATTCTCAAACGCTAAAATTGATCACAATGACTAAAATAAAACTTATTTAACTGGTTAATAATTTAGTCATTCAGATTATCGAATGGGCTAAGTATATTAATCCTTCTTTTTAACCTCTCTTTCTTAACCTTTTGTCAAACGGGGCCTATATGAATAGGGGTAACGCTGCGATTTACCTGAAACCAACTCAGCGTTCGAGAACGAAAGATTTGAAGGCTTCTGTCGTAGATACTCTCTCTTCCGGTCTGGGCCTTTACCCTTCTCACGCTAGAGATGGCTTTTATGGGGGCGGTTTGTTCACCGGTGGTGGACCTATAATGGGCTGGTCGCGTAGGAGCAGGCCTACAAAAAGAGGGCCAGGGCCTATATGCGTTAATATGGGAACTTTTCTCGTATTTTGTTAGCAGCGAACGAGATGCAACAGAGGGAGGGATCGAGGAAGGCAAAAAAAAAAAAAAAAAAACCGATGTGTAAATGGGGGAAAGAAAAAAAAAAAAAAAAAAAAACCGATGTGTAAATGGACGGGCCATGATTTGTTTTGGGGAAAACAAAACGGTAAGCATCAAGAGCGAGAACCTCTTTATAGAGCTCTGTGATATAAAGGAAACGGGATGTGTTTGTGGAAAGAATCCCTTTTGCTTTTGCTATTTTGCAGTTAATGGCGTACGTCGCCTCGCGCGTACTACGCCACATCATCGTCGCCGGGGTGTTTGAATGCGTAAGATTTAACTTCTTGCAACTTGAATTGATCGAGAAAGTATTAAAGCTCCTTTAAAATTTGAAGTAGATAGGATTTTTATTATCCACCGGTTTTAACTTAATTTGATTCAATACACACATCTCAACTACAGCCTTGGTAGTGGTAGGAATCTCAAAGAAAAATAAAAGACCGAAAAAGTTGGTGGACAAGAGTTCTGTTTTAGTGCTAAAAAGTAATCTCCAATCGGTAGCAGATGAGTGTCTCATGTTATGCGTAATCGAGCCAGGTATTCACTTTAAGATAATCAAAGACCCAGCTCAGATGACTCAACACGCTGACATCTCGTGAGGGCGACTCAAAGGGCATTATATGTCGACCCCTGGTTAGACCAAGTTCTTAACCAGCCCACTCGACCGACCATTCGGCCGACATCTCACGACGGCGACTCAAAAAACGGTACTTCTCGACCTTTTGTCGGACGAGTAGAAAAGTGGCGACTACCTCGAGGCTCGAGCCCCCTCCCGCACACCGACAGCCAATCACATCGTAATAAAATACCATTAAATGCATAATCGGCGCCATCAATCTTTGTCTCCATTAATAGTTTTTATGACACATCGTACCACGTCCGCACCGCACGTCGCCAGTCACTTCGCATTAAGCGCCGAACTACCGGAGAACCTAACTTCGCCCTCTTATGATTTGCTACCTGTGCAGGGAAGAATAGCCTGTCTCAGAACTGGACATTCCGAGGGTTAAAGCCGGCAAACCAAATAAGTTAGATTTCATTGACTGACTTTGACGTAGCTTGAAATAATATAATTGGAAATCTTAAATGATTAAAAAGTTACCAAACATTACTTTTTTTTCATGCAAAGCTTCAAATAGTGGTGCTGCAACGTAGATGATTCAGAAATATGTCCCCATATCTCGACGACGAGACGTTTCGAGCTGCTACACATATTTCCCAAAAAAAAAAGCATATAAATACTACTTTTAATAATAACGAAAAGATAAATCATCACCTCTTCCCTTTATTTGTTTTTTTACTTTTATCAATTAACTCGCCCATGCCTTGTCGATCCCCACTTTGATCGGTCGACAATGATGACGTAAGCTCGTTCGGAAATGACGCGATCACGTGCAGTCTCGTCCTCTCATTTAGCCTGGTCCCCCCCGCGGCTCTCTCTATTGTCGGGATGCAGTGTTTAGACAGACGTCGACTTTTCCTCTTTTCCCCCCTGGGGCGTGCCCTAATTTTACGCTGCTCATATCGCAGTACGCGGGTCCCCGGGGTCCCTAACCTTTTAGACATTAAAATAGTCCCTCCATAAATCATTACTGTTTTGATATTAGACCCTTAAATCTACATCTTTTGATGTTAGTCTTTCAAGTTGCATTAATCTATCGATATTAGTTTCTTATAGTCGTTTTAGTGGTAGAAAATAATCTTTGATCAATGTCAGACAAGTGTCTCGCATTATGCATAATCAAGTCAGTATTTCAAGATAATCAGAAGCCCAAGCCGGTCAACTCGACAAACCGACATCTTGTGAGGACGACTCGAAAGACGTTACATGTCGACGACCTGAAAGGCGTTACGTATCGTCCCCTACCTAAGTCGACTGCTTAACCACTCCGTTTGGCCAACCAATTGGCCGACACCTTACGATGACAACTGAAAAAGCGGTACTGCTCGACCACCGGACGAGTAGAAAGGCAACGAAATGCCTCGAGCCATCTTCTGTGCACTAACTGTTTTCGTCAAAAGTTGATTTTGTTATGGAATTCATTATATCTTCGATCGATTACAACAAATTCGAATGTTTTCGTCAAAAGTTGATTTTGTTATGGAATTCATTATATCTTCGATCGATTACAACAAATTCGAAAGAGATAGTCTTTTTATAAGACTTCTTTTACACAACAAAATAAAAATTACAACTCTTGAGAAAATAACAAAAAAATCGTTTATCGATTCTTGTTTTGTGGGACTTTGCCTATGCCGGGAGTGCTTTGACTCGTGGACCACCGATTCACAGATTCTGATTGAATCGTGAAGGCTTTTGGATATTCTTATTCGTTTATCGAAGTAAGAATCTTTAAGCGAATATCTTATCGATGTAAGATGTTCACTCTTCCAAAGATCAAGTCAGAGCTTAGATCTCTAGGAATCGCCAAAAGATTTTTTGAGGATGTTTGTGAAGAAGGAAGACTCTCTCTCTCTTGCTCCAATTCACCAAAAGCTCAAGTCTCTCTGCTTACTTGCTCCCCCCAATCTGCACCCTGTCCGCTTGGCTGTCAATGATGGCCCTAGGGGGTATTTTATAGCCTCCTTGGATGATAACTAAAGAAAATAACCGATCAACAACTGCCCCTTTGGGCGCGACAGTTACTGCTGTCGCGGCCAAAGGGCGCGACAGTCGACACTGTCGCGGCCAAAGGGATAGTTA